ATTATTATTATTATTATTATAGGAGACTCAAAACAGATATGTATCTATTATTAATATTAGAATGTATTATTATTATTATTATTATTATTATTATTATTATAGGAGACTCAAAGCAGATATGCATCTATTATTAATATTAGACTGTATTATTACTATTATTATAGAAGACTCAAAGCAGACATGTATCTATTATTAATATTAGAATGTACCATTATTATTATTATTATTATTATTATTATTATTATTATTATTATTATAGGAGACTCAAAGCAGCTATGTATCTATTATTAATATTAGACTGATTATTATTATTATAAGAGACTCAACGCAGCTATGTATCTATTATTAGTATTAGAATGTACCATTATTATTATTATTATTATCATAGAAGACTCAAAGCATCTATGTATCTATTATTAATATTAGAATGTACAATTATTATTATTATTACTATTATTATAGAAGACTCAAAGCAACTATGTATCTATTATTAATATTAGAATGTACCATTATTATTATTATTATTATTATAAGAGACTCAAAGCAGCTATATATCTATTATTAATATTAGAATGTATTATTATTATTATTATTATAGGAGACTCAAAGCAGCTATGTATCTATTATTAATATTAGAATGTACCATTATTATTATTATTATTATTATTATTATTATTATTATAAAAGACTCAAAGCAGCTATGCATCTATTATTAATATTAGAATGTATTATTATTATTGTTATTGTTGTTATTATTATTATTATTATAGAAGACTCAAAGCAGCTATGTATCTATTATTAATATTAGAATGTATCATTATTATTACTATTATGACTATTATAGGAGACTCAAAGTAGATATGTAGCTATTATTAATATTAGAATGTATTATTATTATCATTATTATTATCATTATTATTATTATTATAGGAGACTCAAAGCAGATATGCATCTATTATTTATTTATTTATTAATGCGCTTGTATACCGCTAATATCTCAGCCTAAATCGGCGACTCATTGCGGTTTACAACACTTAAAAAACAACAATATTCAGTTTAAAAGCATAAAACACATATACAATACAAATTATTGGGCCACCAATAACCATCCAATGCATCTCGTAACTGGAGTCGCAATCCAAATTCATCGTCCATGATTACCAGTCCTTTAGTCATCATAATTCGTTGCAACGGATTAACCGAATGCTTGTTTAAACATCCATGTCTTCAATCTTTTCCGAAACACCATCAGCGAGGGGGCTGACCTTACCTCTATGGGGAGGGTGTTCCAAAGCCGAGGGGCCACCACAGAAAAGGCCCTGTCTCTCGTTCCCGCCAGCCGCACTTGTGAAGCCGGCGGGATAGAGAACAGGGCCTCCCCAGAAGATCTTAGGGTCCTGGTGGGCTGATAGGTTGAGATACGTTCGGATAGATAAGTTGGGCCAGAACCGTTTAGGGCTTTAAAGGCCAACGCCAGCACTTTGAATTGAGCCCGGTAGCAGATCGGCAGCCAGTGGAGCTGGTGCAGCAGAGGAGTTGTATGCTCCCTGCGCCCCGCTCCTGTTAGTATCATGGCTGCCGCCCGTTGGACTAATTGGAGCTTCCGGGCTGTCTTCAAAGGCAACCCCACGTAGAGAGCGTTGCAGTAGTCAAGACGGGATGTAACCAGAGCGTGGACTACCGTGGCCAAGTCAGACTTCCCAAGGTACGGTCGCAGTTGGCGCACAAGTTTTAACTGTGCGAATGCTCCCCTGGTCACCGCCGAAACCTGGGGTTCCAGGCTCAGCGATGAGTCCAGGATCACACCCAAACTTTGCAAGTGCAAACACAGGATGATGTAGAAGGCCCACTAGAGAGGCCTGTGCAGCTTCCCCAGCATTGCCCTTTCCCCAACGACATGCAGGCAGGCAGATACCTGACGGTCCCCTCGGAGACATTCGGCACCGAAAGGGTGACGTCCACGGAGATCTGGCACTGGCTCCGTAAGATGGCCATCATGCGCAGGGCTTCCACCTCGCTCCGGGGGGCGTTGACCGAGGCACAGCCCAGGTAGGTGAGCTTGCTGAAGACCACGCTGTCCTCGTCTGCCACGGGCGTGAAAGGGCTCGAGTCCTCCGAGTCTGCAAGGGAGAGGGAGGGGGAGGGAGGGAGGGAGGGAGGGGAAGAGAAAGCGGGGAAGAGGTAAATCCCGACAGTCTCTTCAGGAACAGCTAGTTCATCTCTATCTACAAAAGTCAAAGTACGCAGGTATGTTCCTCTATTTGTACCACAAAAGGCTGTGGCTAGGTGACAACGGCACTCTGTGATTTCACTGGGGAAGGGAGGGAGGGAGGGATGGAGGGAGGGAGGAAGAAAGAAAGGAAGGAAGAAAAGAAGGGATGGGAAGGGAAGAAAAGAAAGAAGGAAAAAAGGAAGGGAGAGAGGGAGGGAGAGAAGAAAAGAAAGAACAAAGGAAGGGAAAGAAGGAAGGAACATAGGAAGGAGGGGAGGGAAGAAAGAAAAGGAGGGAGGGAGAGAGGAAGGAAGGAAAAGAAGGCACATAGGAAGGAAGGAGGGAAGAAAGAAAAGGAAGGGAGGGAAAAAGGAAGGAAGGAAGGAAAAGAAGGAAGGAAAAGAAGGAAGGAAAAGAAGGAAGGCACATAGGAAGGAAGGAGGGAAGAAAGAAAAGGAAGGGAGGGAAAAAGGAAGGAAGGAAGGAAAAGAAGGAAGGCACATAGGAAGGAAGGAGGGAAGAAAGAAAAGAAGGGAGGGAGGGAGGAAGTGGAAAGTGGAGGGAGGGAAAGAGGGAGGGAAGAAAAGAAGGAAGGAAGATAAAGAAGAAAGGAACATAGGAAGGGAGGGATGAAAGAAAAGAAGGAAAGGAGGAAGGGAGGGATGGAAGAAAGGAAAGACGGGAGGGAGAGAAGGAGGGAAGAAAGAAAAGAAGGAAGGAAGGAAGTGGGAAGGGAGGGTGTGAGAGAGGGAGGGAAGAAAGGAAAGAAGGAAGGAAGGGAAAGAAGGAAGGAACATAAGATGGAAGGGAGGGAAGAAAGGAAAGAAGGAAGGAATAGCCAGAACGTTGCGATGGAGGCATTTTGAAATAGTCCCTCTCAAAGCTGGAGAGGGGAGAAAGCAGGTGGGTGTTTAACATTTACACAAATGGCCCACCACTACCAGAAGGGACAGAAAGTTTCATCTACGCTGACGATCGTGCCATCACCGCTCAAGCAAGGAGCTTTGAAATTGTTGAACAGAAGCTTTCCAAAGCTTTAGGAGCTCTTACTACCTATTACATGTCAAGAGTGACTTCAGAAACTGCAAGTTGCTTCTGGTGTAAAAGAATTGACCACCTGCAAGGACGTTGCCCAGGGAACACCAGGATGTTTTGATGTTTTGCCATCCTGTGGGAGACATCTCCTTCCCAGAATAAGGAAACTCCCAGCAATATGTCCCTAAACGCACTTTATTAGTGATCTAGGATTGTCTGCACGCTCTATCCCTCTCCAAAATTTCTATCCTGTTTATAAGTCACCTGGTCACGCCCAGCAATATTTTTTAAATTTTTAATGAGCACATTTGGCCTTGCCATAGGTTTTTAAACGGCGTTGTGTTATTGTTAATGTTTATTGCTATTTTCTGTTTATGTGTTTAATTTATTGTTTGTATTACTGTTGCTATTGTTTTTATTGTTGTATTGCGGGCTTGGCCTCATGTAAGCTCCACCGAGTCCCTTGGGGAGATGGTAGCGGGGTACAAATAAAGTGTTATTATTATTATTATTATTATTATTATTATATCCCCACATGGGGAGCTAGAGCTGAGACAGGAGCTCACACCTTTCCTTGGATTCAAACCGCCAATCTGTCAATCAGCAGTCCTGCCAGCACAAGGGTTTGACCCATTGTGCTACTGGGGGACTTCATTTGATGGAATGGCAATATTTGGGTGTTTCAAGAAAAGTGATCCGAAAGCTCATCAAAAAGTGATCCAAAAGCTACGCCTCCTCCTTCTCGGAGTCTCTGAAATTACGTTTTGCCTTACTAACTGTAATAATAATAAAGAAATGTAAATGAAATAATTATAAATAGAATAAAATAATAAATGTAATAATAATGGAGAAAATAATGTAAATGTAGTAATAACAATAACATAGTAATATAATAAATGTAATAAAAATCATAGAGTAAAATAATAACTGTAACAATAATAATAAAGTAATGTAAATGTAATAATTATAAATAGAATAAAGTAATAAATGTAATAATAATGGAGAAAATAATGTAAATGTAGTAATAACAATAACATAGTAATATAATAAATGTAATAAAAATAATAGAGTAAAATAATGTAAATGTAATAATAATAGAGTAAAATAATAACTGTAACAATCATAATAAAGTAATGTAAATGAAATAATTATAAATAGAATAAAGTAATAAATGTAATAATAATGGAGAAAATAATGTAAATATAGTAATAACAGAGTAAAACGGTTCTGGCCCTGCTTACCTCTCCGAACGCATCTCCACCTATGAACCGACGAGGACGTTAAGATCGTCCGGGGAGGCCCTGCTCTCGGTCCCGCCTGCGTCGCAGGCGCGGCTGGCGGGGACGAGAGACAGGGCCTTCTCGGTGGTGGCCCCTCAGCTATGGAATGCCCTACCCGTAGACATCAGGCAGGCCCCTTCGTTGCTGGAGTTCCGGAGGAGGGTCAAGACGTGGCTCTATGAACAGGCGTTCGGTCAACAAGGCAACTGAACTCATGAAGACGGTATAAATGAACAAAGGAATGTTAGAAGGATTATGAGAACAGAATCTGATTTTACTGAGGCGTTGATGACCACGTTGTTTTGTCTTGTATTGTCTGTCGTGTATGTTGTGTTTTAACCTAATTGTTATTGTTATATAAATTGCATTGTAAACCGCATTGAGTCGCCGATTTAGGCTGAAAAATGCGGTATAAAAATAAAGCAAATAATAATAATAAATAATAAAATAAAATAATAACTGTAACAATAATAATAAAGGAATGTAAATGTAATAATTATAAATAAAGTAATCAATGTAATAATAACAGAGAAAATAATGTAGATGTAGTAATAACAATAACATAGTAATATAATAAATGTAATAAAAATCATAAAATTAATGTAAACGTAACAACAATTGTAAAGGAGGGTAAAATTACTGCCACCAAATTTGTGAGGAAGCCCTGTAATTCTCAGCATCAACTTAGGAGCTGGTTTATAAAGGGACTATTAGTTACAGAAGTATTTATTTATTTGATAGCGTAGCATTTAATGTCCCTGGTTTGGTTTTTCTACTTATGCAGGCTGTTTGATTTAGGAGAAACTGTATCAGGCAAGGCTTGAGGAGAACAGTAACAAATTTATTTAACAGGAATATAACATGTTCAATGGTTTCTTCACAAGAGGCACAAATCTTGACTGGTTACATTAGTAAGGTTTCATGAGTAACTTTAGGTACAGACTTTAAGAGGTTTCTGTAAGCAGATGTATCTTTCCTGGACAACTGTCCTAATAAAACAAAGAAGCTAAAAGGTTTTTTAACACAATTGGCTCCCAGCCAAACCCTGATTCTTAATATTAAAGAACCAGTCTTCCCTATAGTTCTCTAACTATAGTATTCCTGATGGTTTTCCACACACCACAGGATCAACTACCTTCTCCTGTAACTCTTTGGTCACAGACTAGTTCCCTGAATCCCCACCTAGAGATTTCAGTCCTTTCTGCAACTCTAATAGTCACAGACTCTTCCCTGATTCTCCCACTAGAGAAATCATTCTTCCCTGTAGCTCACCGGCTTACAGACTGCCACTTTCAAACAGCTGCCCCGTGAAGTGACAGTTGGCTCCGCCCCCGTTGCTATGGCAACTCTGCTCAAGCCAAACCAGCCACCATCTCTAACAAAATACAATCCTACATACTTACCATTTATTAACTACTGTTTAAACAACACATAACCATAAGAAAAGTTACACATCGTCACAACAATAAATTTTAAAATTTAATTTTTTTAAAAAAATTAAATTTAAAATGTAAAATTTAAAATATAATATAAAAATAATAATAGAGTAAAATAGTGAATAACTTTGACTTGACTTTCCCTTCCCACTCAGGCAACAAGCATCTCACCGCACCTCCTTGTGTGGGTTTCACTGGCAAGCTCATACCAGGCTTCTGGGGCCCCGAGACGGAGACAGGGTTAATGGTGGAGGAGGCAGAGGCTTCGAGGAGAACGGGTTCATCTCCCTCGGTGTCGGGGGAGCTCTCCTCTTCCTCCTCCTCCTCCTCTTCCTCCTTCTCATGCTCCCGGTCATTGGGAGGGTCTTCCACGGGGGGATCCATTAGGACGTCCTCAAGCTCCTTCTGCAGCTGCTGCTCACTCCCATTCCCTATGATCTGCGGAAAGGAAGCAGTTCTTGATCAGCAAAACAACCTGGCAAGCACCCTCCATGCACTCAGGATTGATCTCTTCCTCCCGTATAACCTGCTTTCCTAGGAGTGTTGCGAGAAAGCAAAATGTCATTTCTAGTTCCCCGTCAGCTTACTGCAACCAATACATTTTGGAGGGTTTCTTAGGCAAGGTCCTTCCCCTAAAATATACCCTACAATGCTCGATGTTCTTTGGCAGCCTCCCATCCAAGTACGAACCAGGGCTGATCCTGCTTAGCTTCCAAACTCAGATAAGCTCCAGGGCATTTAGGGCGACTCAATGGGATGAATAATATTAAAATGTAATATAATATAATCTATATATATAAAAATGCTCTGTGCATAATGAGTACCTTAAAAACAAAAGAACCAATGAATGAAATGACACCAAATTTGGCAACAAAACGTCTCACAGCACAAGGAGTGACCATCACTCAAAATATTGTGATTTTGTCATTTGGGAGTTGTAGTTGCTGGGATTTATAGTTCACCTACAATCAAAGAGCATTCTGAACCCCACCAACAATGGAATTGAACCACACTTGGCACAGAGTTCTCCCATGACCAACAGAAAATACCGGAAGGGTTTGGTGGGCAGTGACCTTTGGTTTTGGAGTTGTAGTTCACCTACATCCAGAGAGCACTGTGGACTCAAACAATGATGGATCTGGATCAAACTCTACAGAAATACTCAATATGCCCAAATGTGAACACTGGTAGAGTTTGGGGAAAATAGATCCTTGACATTTGGGAGTGGTAGTTGCTGGGATTTATAGTTCACCTACAATCACAGAGCATTCTGAACCCCACCAACGATAGAATTGGGCCAAGCCTCCTACACAGAACCCCCATGTGGGCCACAGCAACGCATGGCAGGGGATGGCTAGTGTAATATAATATATTGTATATACATATAATATTTATAATATTAGAATGTAATACAATACAATATTACTACTAATAATATGATATTATAATTATACATTTTATATTACATGTAATATTACTAATAATCTATATAAATAAAAATGTCATGTTTGTTTGTGGGATTAATAGAACTCAAAAACCAGTGGGCCAATTGACACCAAATTTGGACAGCATACACCTAACAACCCAATGTATGTCCTTCACTCAAAAATTTTGATTTTGTCATTTGGGAGTTGTAGTTGCTGGGATTTATAGTTCACCTACAATCAAAGAGCATTCTGAACTCCACCAATTATGGCATTGAACCAAACGTGGCACACAGGACTCCCATGACCAACAGAAAACACTAGAAGGGTTTGGTGGGCATTGACCTTGAGTTTGGGAGTTGTAGTTCCCCTACATCCAGAGAGCACTGTGGCCTCAAACAATGATAGATCTGGACCTAACATGGCATAAATATTCCATATGCCCAAATATGAACGCAGATGTAGTTTGGGGGAAATAGACCTTGACATTTGGGAGTTGTAGTTACTGAGATTTATAGTTTACCTACAATAAAAGAGCATTCTGCATCCCACAAACAACAGAATTGGGGCAAACTTCCCACACAGAACCTTGATGACCAACAGGAAATACTGAAGGCCATCCAGTCCAACTCTCTTCACCAGGGCAAGAAAATGTAAACAGAGCCCTCCTGACAAACAGCCATTCAGCCATAGATAGGGATATAGATAGATAGATAGATAGATATGATTTACACACACACACAGATATAGTATCATAGACTTGAAAGGGACCCCTAAAGAAGGACAATGATATGTTGCATATTCCAGAGTAGGCAAACCAGACACTCTCCACATCAACACTGACAAAGAAACAGCAAGAAATACTGTTTACTCACAAGCAGAAAGACATTACAAATATTAGAAACAAACACTTTCTCATTACTTTATTTTCCAGATTAACAGACTGGGCCACAGCAACGCCTGGCAGGGGACAGCTAGTCTATATAAATAAAAATGTAATGTTCTATTGTGAGATTAAGAGAACTCAAAAACCACTGGACGAATTGACACCAAATTTGAACACAAGACACCTCTCAGGCCAACAAGTGACCATCACTCAAAAAAATGATTTTGTCATATGGGAGTTATAGTTGCTGGGATTTATAGTTCACCTACAATCAAAGAGCATTGTGAACCCCACCAACGACGGAATTGAACCAAACTTGGCACACAGTTTTCCCCTGACCAACAGCAAATACCGGAAGGGTTTGGTGGGTAGTGTCCTTTGATTTTGGAGTTGTGGTTCACCTACATCCAGAGATCACTGTGGACTCAAACAATGATGGATCTGAACCAAACTCTACATGAATACTTAATATGCCCAAATGTGAACACTGGTGGAGTTTGGGGGAAATAGAATCTTGACATTTGGGAGTTGTAATTGCTGGGATTTATAGTTCACCTACAATTGCGGAGCATTCTGAAGCCCACCAATGATAGAATTGGGCCAAACCTCCCACACAGAACCCCCATGACCACCAGAGTGGGCCACAGCAACGAGTGGCAGGGGATGACTAGTTAATAATAAATAAAGTAAAATAGTAAATGTAATAATAATAACAACAACAACGGATAACCCTTCCTTGAGTATAAGCTGAGGGAACCTTTTTCAGCCTTAAAAAAGGGCTGAAAAACTAGTTTTATACTCGAGTATATACAGTATGCGTTCTGCGATCTGTCCTGAGTCCTCTTTGGGGTGAGAAGGGCAGAATATAAATACTGTAAATAAATAAATATTTATAAATAAGATGTTTGTTTATTTATTTACTTACTTACAGCATTTATATTCCACCCTTCTCACCCCAAAGAGGGCCGCGGGTGGATCACACTGTGACGGTCTGGATAAGGGCGAACAAATTGAAACTGAATCCAGACAAGACAGAGGTACTCCTGGTCAGTCGCAAGGCCGAACAGGGTATAGGGTTACAGCTTGTGTTGGATGGGGTCGCACTCCCCCTGAAGACGCAGGTTCGCAGCTTGGGAGTGATCCTGGACTCATCGCTGAGCCTGGAACCCCAGGTCTCGGCGGTGGTCAGTGGAGCTTTTGCACAATTAAAACTTGTGCGCCAACTGCACCTGTACCTTGGGAAGCCTGACTTGGCCACAGTAATCCATGCTCTAGTCACATCCCGTTTAGACTACTGCAACGCTCTCTATGTGGGGTTGCCTCTGAAGACTGCTCGGAAGCTTCAAATGGTCCAACGATCGGCAGCCAGGTTGTTAACAGGAGCGGCACTCAGGGAGCACACCACTCCATTGCTGCGCCAGCTCCACTGGCTGCCAATTTGCTACCGGGCACAATTCAAAGTGCTGGCTTTAGCCTTTAAAGCCCTAAACAGTTCTGGCCCGACCTACCTGTCCAATGAACCAGTTAGGACATTAAGATCATCTGGGGAGGCCCTGCTCTCGATCCCGCCGGCTTCACAAGCACGCCTGGCGGGGACGAGAGACAGGGCCTTCTCAGTGGTGGCCCCTTAGCTGTGGAACGCCCTTCCTACAGATATTAGATTGACCCCCTCCTTGCTGGCATTCCGGAGGAAAGTAAAGACCTGGCTGTTTGAACAGGCATTCGACTAAGCAGTGTGATTGATTGACTGACTATCAGAACACGGAATATTGGATAACGAGTATGGATTCTGATTTCATTGATGAGACCTGATGGATTTGTTATATTGATGTAGTGATGTATTGATGCTGATGTTTAATGATTTGTGATGCTATTGCTTTTAAATGCTTAATGATTTTGTATTGTGTATACCTAAATTGTTGTAAACCGCTCTGAGTCGCCTAAGGGCTGAGAAGAGCGGTATACAAATAAAGTAAATAAATAAATAAATCACAGAACACATATATGCTGAGCAAAGCTGGACGGCAAATACTCCAGCCTTAAGGTCTCTCCTGCAACAGGGCCCAACAAAACAATGGAAGGAGGAAAAGCGTTGCAGGCACAATGGCCATGAAGGAAGGACGGCAAGTGAGAAAAGTCTTACAAATGGTGACTATGGAAAACATCCTGCACTAACGCTGGACCTTTAAATGTCACCAGCAACACTAGGAAAGTGCTACTGGAACTGTATTGCAGTAAGTGAAGAAGGTGTGGATTCTCTGCAAAGGGGAACTCACCTCCATTCCGACTTCCACTATCCACCCCCAATTTCCCCCTGGGTTCCGTCCCGCAAGCCTTACCTTCAGTCCCGTCTTTTCATCGTCGCTACCGTTGTTGGTGGACGGCGTTTCGTCCCCTTGCCTGGAAATCAAGACAAAATCTTCGCTGTTAAGGGTAGACACCGAATCTGAAGACACACTGATTTTTCCCACAGAGGCCTTGTCATCCATGACTTAACAAAAGGGGAACGCTTGACTCATGAATGGGCTTGGGTCATAAGTGCCTGAAAAACAGAAAAGCGAAACGAAATCATAACATGAAATTGGCGTAATTAAACGGCATCCACAAAGTCAGGCCCTGGGGCGTTCCTCGACTCCTCCCTACACCACACAATTCGAGCAAATATTCTGCAAGAGCTTTGAAGGCTTGGGGAACAAGGTCTCGCCCCATGACACAAACAACCTTCACTCTAGAGCTTCACCCAGTAGCTTTACACAAGAGGCCTTCGATCTTCCATAAGAGACCAAAGTCTACCTCACACTGAGGCCTTCTCACAGACTTGAGATCTTTCTCCCACTGAGGCAAATCAACACCGAGGCCTACTAAGCTACAGGCACATCATCTTATATAGAAGCTTTCAAGGTTACTCCTCAAGAGCTTTGAAGGCTTGGGGAACAAGGTCTCACCCCATAACACAAACCAAGTTCAGCCTTCACACTAGAGCTTCACCCAGTAGCTTTACACAAGAAGCCTTCAACCTTCCCTAAGAGATGAAGGCCTACCTCACACTGAGGCCTTCTCACAGACTGAGATCTTTCTCCCACGGAGGCAAATCAACACAGAGGCCTACTAAGCTACAGGCACATCATCTTATATAGAAGCTTTCAGGGTTATTCCTCAAGAGCTTTGAAGGCTTGGGGAACAAGGTCTCACCCCATGACACAAAGTTCAACCTTCACACTAGAGCTTCACCCAGTAGCTTTACACAAGAGGCCTTCAACCTTCCCTAAGAGACTAAGGTCTACCTCACACTGAGGCCCTCTCACAGACTGAGATCTTTCTCCCACTGAGGCAAATCAACACTGAGGCCTACTTAGCTACAGGCATACCATCTTATATAGAAGCTTTCAAGGTTATTCAAGAACTTTGAAGGCTTGGGGAACAAGGTCTCACCCCATGACACAAACAAATTTCAACCTTCACACGAGAGCTTCACCCAGTAGCTTTACACAAGAGGCCTTCAACTTTCCCTAAGAGATGAAGGCCTACCTCACACTGAGGCCTTCTCACAGTCTGAGATCTTTCTCCCACTGAGGCAAATCAACACAGAGGCCTACTAAGCTATAGGCAAACCAGCTTATATAGAAACTTTCAAGGTTATTCCTCAAGAWCTTTGAAGGCTTGGGGAACAARGWCTCRCCCCATGACACAAACMAAGTTCAACYTTCACACTAGAGCTTCACCCAGTAGCTTTAYACAAGAGRCCTTCRACCTTCCMTAAGAGAYSAAGGCCTMCCTCACACTGAGGCCTTCYCACAGACTGAGATCTTTCTCCCACTKAGGCAAATCAACACAGAGACCTACCAAGCTACAGGCACACCAGCTTATATAGAAGCTTTCAAGGTTATTTCGTATCAAAAGCATTGCATAAACTAGTATAAAACCGATAAAACTAGAAGGAGCGCAGGTGGCTAAATATCTTATGACCAAAAACGGGCTACAGTAATGGCATTGTCTGTAGCCTCCAACAATTCCTCTTCTGTAGATGAGGCAGGGCATAGTGGACAAGCATGCAGATGTGGAGTTGTCTGTTCTGCTCCATAGTCACATAAGGTGTGGGATTTTTTTTAGGTCGTGCCATTTTGCCAGGTTGTCTTTTCATCTGCCCACTCCACTTCTGAGTCTGTCAGGGACTTCCAGGTTGCCCATTCTTGGTTTGCCCCTGGAGGAAGACCCTCTTTTGTGGGGGGCATCCAGTTGGGATTTCCTGGTCTAGAGGTCCAGAGGGATACCCTTGGTGTTGCTGGGGGGACGCCAAGAGGAATGGTCATTCTCATAAAGCTTTTCCTTGATTGGAGTCTACTGGGAGGAGACTGGTAGCCATGTAGTGGGTGGCTTTCACAGTGGTCGACCTTATTTCTCTCACATTTAGAAGCAACTTCTCGTCACACATCGGGGGGGGGGGGGGGCAATGCCAGCTAGCTTGCAGAGTTTATCAACAGGTGTAGGTTTAAGACATCCTGTGATTATTCTGTTTTATTGTTTTAATGCTTGTTGATGTATTGTTTTAATGGTGATTTACGTTTAATTGTGGTTTTACTATTGTAATTGTTTGTATTGGCATTGTATCGATGCCCAACGTAAGGCATTGAATCTTGCCATTATTTATGTTTAAACCGCTTTGAGTCCCCCCCAGGAGTGAGAAAGGTGGTATATAAATACTGTAAATAATATTATTCTGCATGTTTTGTTCAATTTTTTAAAAACAGCTTTCAAGATAACAGTGAATGTAAGGGGAGTGGGTTGTTGTAGGTTTTTTCAGGCTATATGGCCATGGTCTAGAGGCATTCTCTCCTGACGTTTCACCTCCATCTATGGCAAGCATCCTCAGAGGTAGTAAGGTCTGACCTCACTATCTTGGAGGATGCTTGCCATAGATGCAGGCGAAACGTCAGGAGAGAATGCCTCTAGACCATGGCCATATAGCCCGAAAAAACCTACAACAACCCAGTGATTCCAGCCATGAAAGCCTTCAACAATACAATGTAAGGAGACTAAGGAACTCATCACACTAGAGAATGGATCCACTTTAAATCTGGTCAGAGCCTCCTGCAGAATGCTGGGGTTTGTAGTTTAGGGAGGAGCCTTTAACAGCCTCACTAAACTACAAACCCCAGAATTCTGCAACCAGATTTAAAGTGGATTCATTCTCTAGCGGGCTTCTTGCACAATAGCCGATCAGGGTATTTCTGGTAAGTTCAGGAGTAGCTTCCTCCTGTTCTTGCTCCATAAATGTACCCTTAAGTCCAACTGGGGGAGAGAAAAATATTTCTGGGTGTGAGAAAGAGGGCAACTTCCGTTTGTCTGGAGTCTCTTGATAAAGAATGCAAGAGGACTAATGAAACTGGATTGGAACAAAGCCTCCTTTTTCATACAGTGGAAAACCCCAAAACACTCTCCAGCTTGACCCCCACGGTGCGGGAGAGCCAATGCCCTACAACCTTGAACGCCATACAAGGCATTTCCCCTATGATGTTTCCACAATGCTGCAATTCAGGGATGGATCTTCCCCAAATGGCCCCTTCCTTGCTGCCTTCCCAATGCAAGTGAAAACCTTTCTCTTCGGACATGAACCGACTACACTGGGCGTGTCCATGCCTGCTGCCTCGTTCATATTTATCTCCTGCCTTTTAACCAACCTTTAAATGATTTTTTTCCCTATCAATCAGACAACTGCATTGGAAAATAACTTGTATGAGTACTTATGCTGGCAGTTCTGTACATATTTCCATTGGTTTAAATCAGTGTTTTTCAACCTGAGGGTGGGGACCCCTGGAGGGGTCGCGAAGGGGTGTCAGAGGGGTCACCAAAGACTATCAGAAAACACAGTATTTTCTGTTAGTCATGGGGGCCTCTGTGTGGGAAGTTTGGCCCAATTCTATCATTGTTGGGGTTCAAAATGCTCCTTGATTGTAGGTGAACTACAAATCCCTGCAAGTACAACTCCCAAATCTCAAGGTCTATTTTCCAAAACCCCATGAGTGTTCACATATGGAGTATCCGTGCCAAGTTTGGTCCAGATCCATCATTGTTGGAGTCTAGAGTGCTCTCTGGATGTAGGCGAACTTCAACTCCCAAACTCATGGTCAATGCCCACCAAACCCTTCCAGTATATTCTGTTGGTCATGGGGGTTCTGTGTGCCAACTTTGGTTCAATTCCATTGTTGGTGGGATTCAGAATGCTCTTTGTTTACAGGTTAACTATAAATCCCAGCAACTACAACTCCCAAATGGCAAAATCAATCCTCCCGCCAACCCCACCAGTATTCAAATTTGGACATACCGGGTATTTGTGCCAAATTTGCTCCAGTGAATGAAAATACATCCTGCATTTCAGATATTCACATTACAATTCAAAGCAGTAGCAAAATTACAGTTGTGAAGTAGCAAAGCAAATAATGTGATGGTTGGGGGTCACCACAATATGAGGAACTGGATTAAGGGGTCGCGGCATTAGGAAGGTTGAGAAACACTGGCTTAAATATTCTGCACACCACTGTTAAATTCCAACGCCGGGGGTGAAAACAAGGTGGAAATGAATAAAACAACAGTAAGAAAATAATAGTAACTCAGGCCTGGAGCCCACTGACATTTTCAGATAAAGAGTGGGGCACCAATAAATATGTAAACAAATAAAATAGATCCATTACACCAGCAGTCCTCGCTTAATAGGAGAAGGCCAGGCTTCAGCACAGGGGTTAAATCACTATGCTGCAGAAAAACTTGCCAATCAAAAGATTGGCAGTTCAAGCCCGAGTCGGGGTGAGCTCCTACCATCAGCCCCAGCTTCTGCTCACCCAGCAGATTGACAACAGCAATGCAAGTAGATAGATAGGTACGCTTTAAGCGGGGAGATAATTAAAGCCATCCATAAGGACATGCCAGAGACTTGATCAGGAGGATGTCTATGGACAACAAAGCTCCTTAGCATGGAAAATGGAGTGACAGCACAGTCTCCAGATGCCGGAGATGGGAAAATATGGAAAGCCTTTACCTCTGTTTATGTCTGCCTGGTTAATTGTATAATGGCACTGAATGTTTGCTGTATATGTGTTCTGTAATCCAGAACACAGTCGGGAGCTCAAACCCGAACAGGGCTTCAAACTTGCCGCCTTTCGGTCGGCAGTGAGTTATTGCTGTTAGTGACTAACCAGCTGTGCTACAGCCCAGCCTTTATACACTGTTTTTCTGCTTCTAATTGTGCAAAGATGTTGTAAACATTTCAGAGCATTTATGCTGTCCTTCTTCCTGATTCGGGACTTGTAACAAATCCAAGCCAAGAGATAAACCAACAAATTGCACCTTCAGATCATTTCCAACGGCTGACTTAAGTCCAAGGCTAGCTCAAGAGGGCATTCCTGAAGAGCTGCGCTTCAAAGGAGGGAGACTGTGCCTTGTTTCCCAAAGCCCGTTTAAAAATAACGCCCTTGCAAAGCAAATACGCAAAGCAGATGGTGGTTTCCCCACAAGGCCCACGTGCAAGTGGAACCCGCATTTATTTTT